TAATTTATATCTAGCGACCAAAATGACAGTTGGACTGCAACAAATTTTATCCTATGGAGACGGCCAATATGTAAAGATCACGAAATTTCAATGCACCGGCACTATCGAAACTATCGACTATCGTCCGAAAACAATCGATATTTTTCCAAAAATAAAACTATCGATAGTTTTGCAACTCTAGTATCGAACGAAAAGTATCGAGTATGTACTTGTATCTTTTCATCCCTAGTTCCAAATAACGACTGGAGAGTGAAATAGTAGTAATTCTTATAATGAATCCTGAAAAACTAAGTAATTCGTCCAAGATTCGGCAAAATGTTAAGACGGCGACAGACTTGCAAAGAATGAAGCTGGAAAAACTAATGATGAATCCCGTATGTTGTAGAAAAGTTGGATTTGGTAAAATACAGAGATGGCTTTCTATTACATCGATTTTTGGGGTGTTGGAACACATCCAGAACGTTCAGCTATAGAAAAACTAAAAATGCAGATCGATAGTGCTTTTTACGCTGATTTCAATTATATAAATATTTGGCGCCATTGAATAGTAGAGATTCAGGTTAAAGTTATCACNAAAGGCTCCGTTATGCATACTTGGCATGGCTTGAGAGCTGTCACATAAGAAATCTGTTAAATGAGCCTCGCGTGTAATCGGTTATCGAACGCACAGCACTACATACGTAGAAGTCTGTTGGTTTTTGATTTCTACGTAAAAATGGTATAGCAGTGCATGCAATGCCAAGTATGCATAACAGAGCCTTAACTCCCAGTTACACATCTTTATCGACGTTATCGACACCCATCATATAACATGTGATCGATAAAGCAGTTAACGTGCTTAACTGAAGGATGTACCTCCAGTTAGCGTTAACTAGACATGGTGCAAACGGCCCTGAGTAACCGGCCCTTAGGCCCGGTTGTACAAAGTCTGATTAGCACAAATCGGAGGTAGAAGCTCTGGTTAAATACAAAGACTGCTTTATCGATCACATGTTATGTGCATGATGTCGGAAACGTCGATAATGATGTTTAACCGGCAAGTACTGATAACCAGACATTGAACAACCGGCCCTTTGGTGTAATCCGTCGTAGTTTCGATTTTGCTTCGAATCGTAAAATTGGTATGCTGAAATCCGCGTTGTATCGTAATTTCGAAATTCGTAGGCCATCTTCGGAATTCGTAATGTTGGTATGCCTGAATCCGACGTAGCTATCATTTTTACGTATTTTTCGGAAATTTTGTTCGAATAGCAACTCGTGTCTGCGCGAAGCAAATTGTTTGGGTTGGCTTTCCTTTATGGCCGTTTGTTAAAGGGGCGGTGGGCGACCTTTTTGGAGAGGGAATGAACCGCCATTGACAAAATTGAAACCCCCGACCACCTAGGTCCCCTATGGACCCATTTTTATATATCAGACATTTTTATAAAACAACCATTAACCAAAATAGACATCACTGGGGCGGCAGCCCCAGGTTTACCACACAGAAAGGGAATTCTAGTTACCTCATCCTTTCCCAAGGTTACATCACTGGGGCGGTAGCCCCAGTTAGGTCACACAGAAAGGAGAATTCTACGTAGTGACGGTTATAATCCCTAAGCACGGCCGAAGGCCGCCTACGCAGAAAGGAATTCTACGCAAAAATACTGGACGCAAGTAAAAATTGCGATTTTTGGCCATTTTTCTAAGGAGTCCGTAGGCAACTATAGGGGGCCTAGGTGGTCGGGGGTTGCATTTGTGTCAAAGGCGGTTCATGCCCTCTACAAAAAGGTCGGTTGGAGGTGCCACGCCCACTCCCCCTTCGCCCACCGCACCTTTAACGAACGGCCATAATGGAAAGTTTCCCCTTGTTTGGGTTGGCGAGGAAACTCATAGTTTACGAGAATTTTGTTGTTAAAGCTGTAAATTTCACCTAACAAAATGTACGATAACAAACCATTTCAAACAAATACAAGTGTGCAGACAACACACATTCCAACTAAATTAAGCTCTTTGAACGTTTATATATTTCATATTGGCTGCATTTCTTTATTCATTCTGAACGTTTGGAATAAGCTTTTTTGTTTATTTATTCTTTAGAACGTTCCTGATGATATGTTGACTTATATTTCAAACGCATTCTGTTTATTCCGGCTGTGAAATGGGATTATCCGGAATGTATAAAGAAACGCAGCCATTATATTAATTTCATTATTTAACGATGTCATTTAACACATTTATAAATTTGTTTACTTTTCTTTAGAGAATATGATAAGTGCTAATTTATTAGGTGTTCAATAGCAATTATGAATATTATTTACGCAGACTTCTCATTTTTGTGTTGCGTTGTCAAGCGTGTGAAACACCTTTTGACATCGTAGTAGCTTTGACACAAAACTCTTTTAACGTAGGCGGGCTTCGGCCGCGCTTAGGGATTATAACCCTTACTGCGCAGAATTCTCCTTTTTGTTTTGCCTTGTCAAGTGTATAATACACCTTCTGACATCGTAGTATTTATGACGCAGAACTCTTTCTGCGCGATTTTTTATTACAAATTTACGCCTGCGGCGCTTTTTTCATAAAAATCAATACTTATAAATAATAAAAATTTTTAATAAAAAAATAAAAAATTTTCGCCTGGGCGCTTTTTCCGTAAAAAAAATAAAAAATTTTCGCCTGGGCGCTTTTTCCGTAAAAATCAATACTTGGATAAATAATGAAAGGTTGTAATTGTAAAATCGCACTTGTGGCAAATTCATCAAAACCTAGTGCGGAAAGTCCAAGTGTTTTTTGCAAATAACTCTTTAATGAATTAAAAATGTTAATTTGTGGATTGGATTGTTATTATTGGCGTTAAGACGCGTCGATTGATACCACTCTCCAACTTTTTCCGTCCATTTTGACCTGGTTCCGCTAAAGTGCACTAATACCTAAATTAATAGCATATAACATTAATACAGTTGTTTTATTTCACTGCAGGCAGTTGTACTTAAACCTAACGTATTTTTTACGAAAAACATACATTTTTATAAAAAAAGTTGCCATAATTTCGTTTTTTTACTTTTTCTCAAAATATATTTGCATTATATATATGTATATTGATATATATGTATATTGAATGTAAAGTTCCTTCAATTACCTTTCCATATTTTGAAAATCAGTTCAATGGTTTTCAAAATATAAGCTTTTGGATATGTTGGAAATCCACGTTTAGCCCCCCCTAGCGCCGCCCCTGTCAATTTGCACCAAAAAAAAGTTTACCATTAAACTCAGTAGAAAGGGGTACACCACGTCCACGTTTTCTTTTTTCTCTAGTTCAAGGGTCCGTATTCTTTAGGTATTCCGCAAGGACTTTTGATTTGGCATTGGTGCGATACTCACGTGTCTTTATTTTTGCGATTTCTAAAAAAGAAGTGAGATTTGTGCGATTTTTTGCGATCAATGTGGTTTACCCAATGTTGGATAATCGCAATCCCGACGAAGGGGCATCCGAAAAAGGGGTTAGTCCGCGAAGTAACTATATACACATGACGCAATTGAATACGTGGTCTTCATTCAGGCTTTCAAGGGCAACTCACAGTTGCCTCTTGTGAAGCTCGGTAAGTTCCTACATGGCTCCTTTGAGGACATGCCATCTTTTTCGTCAATAAGAAAAAGATTAAAATTGTTACTAACTGGCGTTTCACGGCAAACGCCATTGCCAAAAATATTTCGCTACGCGAAAATTACTTGACTTCCATTCCCGCAGAAAGGTGCGAGGTAAAAGGCGTCATTGCTATTCCGGCTGGCAATGATTTCACTGAGAAATATATATTTGAAACCCTAGAAATTAAACAATTTCTCGAATATGGTCCCATCCCTGATGCCATTCAAATTGGTGAAGTACGACGCTTCACAAAAAAAGATCCCACCGACAGGTCTTTTAGAGTTGATCTAGACCTAATAACAGTCTCATTCACTGGAAATGTCCTTCCTTCACATGTGGTTCTTGATAGAGTAATTTTCCCTGTCAAGTCATATGTCGAACCATTGATTCAATGCCGCAAATGCTGGCGATTTAATCGTACTGAGAAAGTATGCAATCGCCCACGAAAGGTATGTTCCAAGTGTGGTAAATAGCACGAAGACGTATGCTCCGCAATGCCTATGTGCGTTAACTGTCACAAGTTTCATGACGCTACCGTTCGATCTTGCGATAAAAGACAATCTCTGAGAAAGCTAAAACTGGAGAAAGCTAAAACCATTAACCGAAAAAAAACGAGAAGCCATTAAAAAATCTCTCAATGTCTTTCATACATGCAACTTTAATTCGGCTGACTTTCCGCCCATTCCAACTAAAAAACCTCGAGTGACTACGTGTAATCCAATGGTTAATGCAACGATTAATCCAAAGGTTAATAGAACCAATAACACGAACAAGATAAAAACAAAACTTACTACATCTGTTACACAGATTCAACCCCCTAAAACCATCAGCACCCCAAACGAGGTTGTTGTTGTTGTNCGAAGTTGTGCGAGTGTAGTGCGTGTCTCCCGAGGCAGATGAAGCTCTGTCTCGTCTATGTCCGGGGGTGGTATGCCTAGAACGGCATACTCGCTGTCTTTTGTGGCTAAAATAGTGGAAGGCACTGTCGATTGATATATTCTTTTGAAGAAATTATCTTTCAAGGTTCCGTCTCATAACTTGC